CATGTTTAGCATAGATTAATGAACAGAATTCATTAAAATATTTGAAAGGATGTTTTAGGAAAAAGGTAAAATGTGTTTTCTACTGCTACAAAATGGAAAATATAGATGAAATATTCATTTCAGCAGATTTTAATGGAAAATTAAAATTATTTTGGATGATATCTGAACCATTGTTAATATGAATGTGCAAAGAGAACACAGTTTAAAGATAAAATATGTTGAAGAATATACTGAAAACTTGGAATGTATCAGGGAAGAACTTTATACTTGAAGTATAGCCAAACAGATGGTTTTATTTTCTTGGAAAGAAAATCCTGATTTACAATTGTAGACTGAAGATTTGCAGTTGCTTTGAATTGGCTCTCTGTCAACAAACTTTTGTACGGGTAAGTTTTAAGCCATTGTTTATAAGAAGGATCAGCACTTTCAACCCTTCAAATTAGACCAGTCAGGAAACAGACTGCAGGAATGACTATTACTATGGCTATAATAACAGAATCTTGAAGTCTGCTAGGGCTTCCAACTGTCCTCTTAAACCAAACAGAATCAAGGGAAGGGGAGAGTATGTTGGGTCTCTTTCTCATGCCCCTTCTTTTTCCAGACCTGTGGTCATTTACTCTCCCTCAGCAGTTTATCTAACAATTCTTTCATACTTTTATGAATTCCCCTACACCAGTATGTATAACATGCATACAGGTAGTCCTCAACTTACAACAGTTCATTTAGTGACTATTCGAAGTTACCACGGCACTGAAAAAAGTGACTTATGACTATTTTTCACACTTACGACCATTGCAGCATCCCCATGGTCACATGATCAAAATTTGGACACTTGGCAACTGACTCATATTTATGATGGTTGCAGTGCCCCAGGGTCTCGTGATGCCCTTTTGCAACTTTTTAACATGCAAAGTGAATGGGGAAGCCAGAGTCATGTAATAACTGTGTTACTAGCTTAACAACTGCAGTGATTCATTTAACAACTGTGGCAAGAAAAGTTGTAAAATGGGACAAAACTCACTTAACAAATGTTTCACTTAGTAACAGAAATTTTGGGCTCAATTGTGGGGTCGTAAGTCGAGGGCTACCTGTAGTTTGTTTGACTATATGTGTGTGTTTATTTTGGCTTTTTAAAACTTTTGTTCTGTGCACCAATGCAATGCCTGTGCATTGCTTTGTTTGTTTTCATTTGTTTCTGGTCATTTCTATATTATATTTGTATATAAAAATAGATTTCCACACAGTAGGAATAGTTTGGCAGAGAAAACCTATAGAATCTACAGAAGTGATAAATACCTTTGCTGATTTCTGCACTAAATTGGAAGTTGGATTCAAAGCAGCTTAAAAGCTCTTCCACATGTATGATCCTATTATCACTGTCACAACCATGGCAGTTAAAAAAAACCCAAAAAACAAACTAGAGATTTTTTTTTGCAGTGTATGTGAAAAAGATTAACTGTTCCTTAATGGAGGAATGAGTAAATGAAACATCTCCTTCCATCACTGTAAAATCCACATACTCATCCTGAATTTGTGTATGCTAAATAAGGAGACTGGGAAACTGATTTAGCTCCTAGACCTGCATCTAGGCAACTACACCTGTGCTTTTAATATATCATGAGGTTTTTTTCCCCCTAATCCGCATCCTGTTCATGTCGAAGGCACATTTTAAGATGCTTCTCGGTTGAAAGGATTAGCCAGTGACATCGCCATTGCCCGGGGACACCTGTGGAGGCTCCTTTCCTGTGCCTGTCAAGGAGCTGGAGCGAATGACAGGAGTTCACCCCGCCACACAGCAGCACTCTGGTCTCAAACACGGACTTGCTAACCTCCAATCCTGCGTCCTAATCCCGTGAGCACCACTCTCCACTTTTCTTGGTTAAGTGGATATATAGTCAATTAAATAAATTCAGCCAGGTCTTTAACTGATGAGTGAATGAGGGAATGTATGTATATACATAAATAATATAATTTCTACTACATTAGTTATTATAATTAGTTAAAAGGTCAGCTTGCTGCAGTAGGCAAAATGAATCTGAAGGGATTTGGAAAAGAGGCCCAGAAGCTCCTTTTTCTCTAATAAATATAGAGCCTTTCTTTGTTAAATAATGGCTGGAGAATTTTATACTTGCTGCCAAGTCGTTACAGAAAAGCATGGACATTATTATATTCAGGAACATTAATAGATTACTTAAACTAGAGGCAAGTAAACTGTAATTCTAATGAAAAACCTCCCTTTTACATTCTTAAAAATGACTGATGATTCCAAAGAGATTTGGTTCATTTGGATCACATCTTTCCATACGTATTTATAATATTGTACGGTATTAGAAATTAAAACTGAGAAATTTTAAAATACTTGTTTATTTAACTTTGCAAACTTTCCCCCTAGACCACACTGAGAGCCACTGATTAAGTAGTACTGTCTATGGAATAAGTCTATCTGGACCCATGGATATGTTTGATGTATTTTTAAAAAATCAATTAATTTTAAATGTAATACTTATTAAGGTACAGGACCAATCACCTGACACACCCTCCCATACATCAAAAACATTTCAGAAGCTGTAGAATGCAGCTTCCAAGATCTGCAAGTGGGCATCACACACTGCCCAGAGGCTACCATACCAGGACCAATTATGTACTGTAAAGATCGACTGGAGGTGAGAGATCCTTCCAAATGTAATCTACTGGATCCCCTGCATGGATTGCCCCTGTAACTATGTAGGACAGATGGGGAGGAAGCTAACCACCAGATTGCAAGAATTCAAGCGAGCGATCAGACGAGGAGAACTGAACGTTGGTACCTCACACTGCAATGAACAAGGACACACATTCAATTTTGCAGTTACACTATGTAGGACAGATGGGGAGGAAGCTAACCACCAGATTGCAAGAATTCAAGCGAGCAATCAGACGAGGAGAACTGAACGTTGGTACCTCACACTGCAATGAACAAGGACACACATTCAATTTTGCAGTTACTAAGATTGTTGGACAGGCAGGTGCAAAAACAGCCAGGAAGTGATTGAAGCCTGGGAAACAGGCTCCTCATCAATTTACAAGAATGCTGATTTACCACCAGCCTATCACGAACTTAGAAGGCGAGGGCTGGGCAACTCAAGCAAACGACAGCTAATCACTGAAAAGCCAGCCATCAACACACCCCAATCAACATCTTAAAAAGCCACATACAACAGGCACTATAAATACTACACATTGAACAGCACACCATACACTCTTCTAGAAAGAAGTTGCCTGAAGATGGGCTCCAGCACGAGTCCAAAAGCTCAGTGACCAACCCAAATTGGATCCTGCAACATTATCCTGGAACATGTATATATTCGCTTTCATCCGTGAATACTTATTAAATGTAATTTCCTAATTTAAAAATTTATTCAGAAAAATGGAAATGTTAAATTGAAATGTTTTCCCACAAAAAGTGATTACACAAATAACTATGCCATTTTGCAATTCGGGGAGGGGCAAACATTTCAATTATTTTAGTTGATTTCAAGAGTTAATCAAATAGTTATAATCACTGCAAATTAAATCAACAAAATTTAGCATAGACGTGACCCAATCTTACTGAAATTAAATTTTGAAACAAAACAAAGCCCACAGCTATACTTGGAAACAGCATGCCTAGAATTTGAAGCACAGGAAAAACATGCCAACTTATAAATTTCTCCAAGGGAAGGTTTATAATGGAAATGGCAGCAAACTCTTAACTACAGTGGTGCCTTTTTATGCCAGCATATAAATAATTTTAGCTTTTATAGTCACGTCATAAATTAGATTTAGCACAAGTAGAAACAGTAGAGTGCTGATTCAGTAAATAGAAAGACCAGGAGCACATGTTTGCATTTTTAAAAGACAGGCACTGACTTGATGGTGACTCTGAAATGAAGTCTGTAAACAGTTTTGAGCTCTTTTTTTAAAGTACTGTACTGTAGGCAAGTCATAAGTTTTTGAAGCTTATAAAAATAAGCAGCCTTTGCAAGTTATAATGCCTGTTTCAAATCTTCTAAGAATCATTTAGGTAGGTTAGCAAAAATGGCTCCATTCAACCCATTGTGGAAAAAAAATTACACACAAATCTACCCACTCACAATCTCTCTGCATTCCAAGAGGAATGTTTTAGTTTTGACTTTAGCAAGTGTTGCAAATGCCACTTGAGTAACAAAGTTTTTACAAAGAAACACATGTGCTCAAAGATTACTTTCTTTATTCTAAATTTACACTTAGAACATAATACATGCCAGATTCTCTTCTCACAGAGTTGTAGTAAGAAGACAACTGAATCTAGGCAGGACTTCAAATTACCTATACATCCATATATTTGCTGCTTACTTAAAAGTACCTAATGGAAGGTACTGATCATTTAATCTTTATTCAATGTTTTTCAATCTTGGTAATCTTGTGTGGACTTCATGGCTGGCTGGGGAATTCTGGGAGCTGAAGACCACACATCTTAAAGTTGCCAAGGTTAAGAAACAATGCCTCAATCAAAATGGATCAAGTACAGTATGTGGATAAGGTGCTTCTTAAAAAATTGAAACAAAAACACTGACGACTCTTCTTAAAACATCGCTCAATTTATGGAGGTGTCTGTCATAACTTTGAGTGGTAGCTAAGCAGCCAATTGTAAATCTAGGATTATCTGTAGTTTCTGGCCCATGGGTAAAATATAATAGTAACACAATAACATATAAAAAGTATCTTTTTTAAAAATTAGAGGTAGTGGTCATAACATTGATTCATTCAAGCGCCATCACAACTTTGAACACTGAACAAATGGTTATAACACAAGGACTACCTTGTGAATTCATATGAATATGAATTTGTAGGTGGACTTTAAAAAAGGTTTTAAGACTGGAAAGATAAAACATAATTTTTTCATATTCAGCAAACTGTACTCCTCATCACAAAGAACAGGTCTGACCAAACTAGTGTGCAATTAGCCAAAAGGATGCAACTGAAAAAAGAGAAAGACTTACCACCAGAAACAGGGGCATCCATAAAAACAGCTCCCATTTTTTCAGCTTCTTTGGCTAGCTCTTTTGAAACTTCGGGATCAATAGTACTGGAATCTATTAATAAAGAACCTTTCTTCACTTTCCTGAAGTAAATGAAGACAGAAAACAAAAACAAAACCCACAAGTAGGTAAAACGCAGAGAATTAACATTACCTCTTTGATGTTGCTACAATTTGCTCATAGAGTTTAACTCCAGAAGAAGTCACAATATTCAAGCCAACTTGTAAAACTATTCTTGAGTAAGATTTTTGATATTGATTTCATAAATTCACAATAAATCATCTGTAGCTAACAAAAAGATATACTTCTTAAGTTATTTTTATAATCACTGATCATTTTCTTTGAGCAGAAGTGGGAGAGGGCTATATTGCCAGGGACAAAAATGTTGGAACTCAACAAAATGAGTATTCAACTGCACAGCTTCATAGAATTTTTATTTATTTATATAAGAAATACATTATTAACAATATGGGGAAAAATAAAGTGTAAAATATATTTGAAAATTCCAGGGTGGTTGTCAACAATGGAAGTATTTGTACACCCAAATTTAGTTAACCTTGAAAAAATCTGGAAATATAGAGAAATTCTAAACTCTGAAGGGAATTTAAAATCTAAACAAGAAATGGAAAATCAGGATATCAATCTATCATGGTGGGCACATTTACAAATACAAGCTAGATATGATAAAGATGTTAAACTGTATGGATTTTATAAGGAACAAACTGTGTTTGATAAGACATTGTTAACTTCTGTTGAGAAACTAATTAAGAAAATGTATAATTTTCTATTAACTTTGAAAATGGAAAGCGAACAAGTTAAAGAAACAATGATAAGATGGGTGAAAATTTTTGGATATAGTATAGAATTAGAAAAATGGCAAAATTTATGGGAAAGAAATTATAAACTGACAATGTCAACTTCCTACAAAGAAAATTTATATAAAATGTTCTATAGATGGCACTTGCCACCAGCAAGACTAGCAAAAATGTTTAAAAACATGTCAGATACATGTTGGAAATGTAAACATAAGTCAGGCACTTATTATCATGTTTGGTGGACATGTGATAAAGTAAAGAGTTATTGGAAAAAGATACATATCTGGCTAGAAAAGATGTTGGGAGAACATGTAGATTTTAAACCTGAACTTTTTTTATTAGGTATAATGCCAGAAAAGACTAACAAACAAAGCTAATATTTGATTTTGCATGTCACAACAGCGACAAGAATTATATTTGCACAATACTGGAAAAATGAAGATGAAGAAATAATTAAACAAATACTAGAATGCACAGAGATTGACTATGAGACCGAAAGATTGACTATGAGACTGAAAGAAGAAACGGAGTATTATCAAACTTGGGTCTTATTTTATCGATGGTTAGAGGAAAGAATAAAGGATTAGGAATTAAATATGTATTAGCGAATGTAAACTCAGACAGCACATTTGTTGAAAAATTATTACGGAATGTATGGGGGAAAAAAACCAATAAAAACTTTTACAAAAAAAAGAATTTTTCTTTATTTATTCATTTATTAAACTTATATATCACCCATCTCTGGTGAGAGATTCTGGACAGCCAGTTTCAGCCAGTTTCTCTCTCGGCCCGAATTTTCTCACAAAATTGTTATAATGCAGATATAGGTAGTCTTCAAATTATTACAATTGAGCCCAAAACTTCTGTTACTCAGTGAGACAGTTTTACAACTTTTCTTGCCACAGTTGTTAAGAGAATCACTGCAGTGGGTGAATTAGTAACATGGTTGTTAAGTGAATCTGGTTTCCTCATTTACTTTGCTTGTCAGAATGTTGGAAAAAGTGATTACATGACCAGGACACTGCAACTATCATAAATATGAACCAGTTGCCAGGCATCTAAATTTTGATCACATGACATGGGGATGGTACAACAGTTGTAGGTGTGAAAAACAGTCATAAGCCACTTTTTTCAGTGCCGCTGTAACTTCAAACAGTCACTAAACAAATGGCTGTAAGTTGAGGGCTACCTGTAATATTAAGTATGACCTCTACATATGAACTCTCAGAGAAAAGTAGGATATAAATGTAATAAGAAACAAGACAACACTTCTAGATAATGCTAACTAAATCGTAAGAGTCCAATCAGCATAATCATTAATAAGGTATGCTGGGACTTGTAAGACATCAAGTTGCTCTAGAAAACTGTAATGATAATTAACTGTGTGGAATGAAACATGCACTCTTCTCTATGATGATAGCTGGTTACAAACACAATAGCGTATTTGCCTAGAGAAATTACATGCATTTAATAGCATTCAATAAAAATACAAGCAGAATGTTAATATAAAGAAAAAAGGAGGAATCTTACTTGAGAATTCCATTGGTACCTATGTAAACTTCTATTGCATTAGGATTTGATGGAAGCATTGTAATAATCCTATCTGCTTTATCTGCTACATCTGCTGGAGAATCAGTCACCTTTTAAAAAAAAGGAAAGAAGGTTTTTGAAGAGAGATTTCAAAAGAAAAACTAGTGATTCAGAACAAGGAGCTATGAAAATGCAAAAAAGGAAACTGAAATACAGCTGGATAGTTACAGTTAAGTTTCACATAAGGTACATGACAAAACAACACTGACATAGATTGAGTTTCACATGAAAAGCTTCCCAAAAAAAGAAAAATTATCTGAAAGCTTATTTAAAAAGGAGCCGTAGTAAAAAAACATGTTTTAGGACTACTAGTTTAGAATTAATTTGCCATCAAGATTATGCTTTTTAATTCTAAAACTAACTGGACCCCTTTCTAGTCAGGTTTAAGGTCTGATTATGGGACAGAAACAGCATTGGTTGCACCTATTAATGATCTCTGGTAAGAGTAGAATAGGGGTAATGCACCCATCCTTGCTGTCCTTGACCTCTCAGCTTTCAATACCATCAACCATGGTATCCTTATTGAACTGCATGCACAATTCGGGGCTGAGTGGTGCAGTCTTGCACTGGTTCATGTTGGCGTTTGTAGAAACGAAAGATCCAATCTATGGCTGGATCCTTTGTGGTGTACTACAGGGCTCTGCACTCTCTCCATTTGTTTTCACCATGAAGCTGCTGGATAAGATCATCCAATACCATGGGATGAAGTATCATGACTATCAATTTTATATCTCTAACCCTGGCAACCCAAGCATTGCTGCTGATGTACTGTCATGGTGCCTGGAGGCTGTGGAGTCCTGAGTAAGGGACAAAAGATTTCAGCTGAATCCTCATAAGACAGTGGCTATGTGAGTCTCAGAATCTAAGAGCTTAATATCTTTAGTTCTGGATGGGGTTGCATTGCCCCAGACGGACCCAGTTTGCAACTTTGGGAGCTCTCCTAGATTCATGATTTCTACTTGAAGAGCAGGTAGCAATCATGGCTAGATGAGGATTTGTGCAACTTTGTGTCCTACATCATGAAACCACGCACTCAGTCACATGCCCTGGTCATCTTGTGTTTGGACTACTGCAATGTGCTCTGTATCAGAATCCCCTTGAAGAGTATTCAGAAGTTATAGCTGGCACAGAATGCAGTTGTGCAGCCAGTTCTAAGGCGTTTAATGTTGGTTATTACCTTTAAGGCCCTTTATGGATCCAGGCTACCTGAGAACACCCCCCCCCCAGGAATTGGTCCACATCACTTGCTTCAGTAGAAGGGGCATGCTACAGGCCCTGTCAGCTAAGGTTTGGTGGGTCCAGGAGAACAGCTTTTTCTGCCATGGCTCCTGCCCTTTGGAACATATGCCCCTCGAGGTGAAATCTGCCTCTACCCTCCTGGCTGCCTGAAAGAGCCTGAAAACATGACTTTGCCTATTGGGTTGGGCCTGGGGATGTCCCACACTGGAAAAGATTAGTAGACGAGAAGACCTAACCTTCACCCTCTTTATACATTTGTTCCTATTTTAACCAATGTTTTGTTAACTTGCAATGTTCAACGTTTTAACATTTTAATTTTTTATATTGCTATTTTTATCATATTGTAAGCTGCCCAGTTTTGCTCAACAGTGAGAGGGGGGGGTATTAATGTAAGTATAAATAAATAACACTCTGATATAGATCCATGCAAAGGATCTATTTCAAGGAAAACTGTAGCAAGATTTTATCAAGCTAGGTTTGTGTTGTGTTTTCTTATGGCATTTAAAGCAAGACATAAGGATGTATATTATCTTCAATTAAAGATAAGAATGAGTAGAACTGGAACAGACTTGTAGATTTTTCATTGTTACGCCTATTAATTTATGACCATTCATTTAAAGATGGTTCAAAGTAACGGTGGCCTTGGAAAAAGTGACTTATGGATCATTCTCAGTTACCACTGTCATGGCATCCCACTATGGTCAAGTGATCGCAATGTGAACACCTGGCACTAGCTCACGTTTACGATGGTTGCACATCTTGTGGTCACATGACAAAGTCAATTGGGAAATGGATTTGCTTAACCATGTGATTTACTTAACAACCACATGGCTCACCAAAAAACCACAGTGATTCACTTAACAACATGGTAAATGGTCATAAATCACATGGTGATTTACTTAATGACTGTTATTACTTAGTGACCAAAACTCTAGTGCCAATTGTGGTAGTAAGTAAAGGACTACCTATATCATAATACTTTACATTATTGTGTCTTTATAGCTAGCATATTTATAGTCTTTGTTCCATATTTTCATCCCAGTACATACGCAAAACAATTTCAAATAAGGCTCAGTATAATTCATGTGGATTAAATATTTATAGTTTATCAGCTTAAGTGTGGGGAATCTCTAGCCTCCAATTTATTCTGAAATGGGAAGTTCACAGTAACTGTCATATAAACCTAAAATAAAATTAAAGCAATTTCAGAAATAAATATTTTCCCTACACAGAAACCATACACCAATGTTTCCTTCTATTATTTAATGCAGTACTGTAAGTTGTAGTTTCATACCATTCTACTGTTTGTAGGTACTCATCTGGTGGCGGGCTCCTTATGACTACAGAAAAAAATGGTGCCAAATAAGGGATAAGATCAAAGATCACCAAGGCACATAAAGCTTTCAATTCTATTAGTGTTTCATTTTGCTTTTGTCAATATGCTGATTTTAAAAAACAGGAATGTTGATCACGATAAGGGAATTAAGAAATTTCACAATCACATTTTTTTCAAATTTCACAGTCACAAAGCAATAAAATGTTATTATACCTGGGTACCCAGCTCTTGAAATTCCTTACATGCTTCTGGAAATATATCACATGCGATAATGGGGTAACCATGTTTCACAAGATTTTTTGCCATTGGATTTCCCATGTTTCCCAAACCAATAAATCCAACTGGAGTTTTGGAAGCCATTGCCCTATAAGACACTAATTGATATGCAAATGTTTCAGTGAAAAAAGTTTTGTAATCTTACATCAACCAGAATGCTAACTTCTTAATGTTCTTTTCTGCTAATTGCATATCTTAGTTATACTAAAAGCAGCTTATACTTTAAGACAGGTAAGAAAATTGGCAACAGCAGAAAAAATCACTGTTCATTTTATTAATTAATTAATATATTGTAAAAATGAGGCATCAACACTGAATTCATCAACACTGAATTTTAGTGCGCTACTCAAATGACTGCTTGGTATCTCTAACTATCTACATCAGATTCCCACATCAAAAATAATATAACTACACAATGATTTTAGATTCTGTTAAAAATGCTTCAGACAATCATGGGAACCAATCTAACATATATATCTCCATGTTCTAAAACAGCTGTGTATTTTTCTAGGATTACTCAGAACTCCAAAGCACCAGTTTTAATTGAATCTAAAGCATCCAGTGGCTATAACAGATTATGGAAAGGAGCTGACACAAAGGCTGATGCAAGTTTGAATGGAATACTATACTGATAAAATTTTATGAGTGAAATTTTGTCCTATTTTGTGCTTGAAACAGTTGTAGCAAAGTAAGTGCTAAGCTTTTACACTTTGGTCTTTGCTTTTTTTAAATTATCAAAAACTGCATTACCAAAAGTCACCATATTCCTGCTGCAACTTTCAAAGCTGCAAAAATCCTAAGTGAAAATCCTTACCTTTATGAATTCAAAATCAGCTTAGAATCGAGCATTCCTTTTACATCTGAATAGATTTTTTTAAAATAAAAATAATCACAAAAGGAATGAATTATTTAAGCTATTGCTTCTTCATTTTAATGGGCAGCCAGTTTGGTCTTGTGGTTAGACCAAAGGCTAGAATCTGGGAGACCATGAGTTTAAGTCTGGGCTTAGCCATGAAAGCCAGCTGGGTGGCATTAGGCCAGTTGGTCTCTGACAGCCCAACTCAACTCACAGGGTTGTTGTTGTGGGGAAAATAGGAGGAAGGAGTACTATATATGTTAGCCACATTGAGTTGTTTATAAAAATAATAAAGATGGTATATAAATAGATTAAATAAAAAACAAGATAATCTAAAGGGTCACTGTCTACTTTGGTTTCACAAAATTTCAGATTTATCCATTATTTTTGCTTACAAAGCAAGGAGCATATACTCAAAGGAAATTTAGAAAATTAACTTTCCTAAAAAGGAAAGTTAATAAAGAAGATTCAGATTCCTTCTTTTCCTGTCTACAGATTCAGCCAGCTGCCAACAGCTGTAATTCAAAGCAGTAACAGCTCTCTACCAGAAATTAGGATGATCACATGGCAAATTTCCTGGATCTAAAGATGATGTTTAGGGAATGTAATGGAAAGTCCTTGCTAAAATGTGATTTGATTCCTTTGTCTAATTGTCTGAAAATTATCCTGTGGTATTTACCTGATTATTTAAGCAGACATTCATGAGAAAAGACACTTGGATGTGAACAAAAATCTAACATAATCCCATCTGTACTTTGGTGTGTGTGTGTGTCTATATTTATATATGTACATATCTATTTATATCTATATCTACATTTACATCTATATCTATATGCCTTGTCTCAACAATCAACTATTCCCTTAGCATATTATAGGATACCCAGAAAAGGAATATAAAATAGCATGCAAAAATAAAGATATGAGATACTGTAATAAAAAGTTTATTACATTAGTTTATACTAACACGATTTATTATATTTCATCATATTATATATCCTCTCACTCTCTCCTAGCTTCCATCAAATCCATATATTGTCTTTTATGTTACAACCTCATTTACCATGGTTGTTAATATAATAAATATAAATTGGCAACTAATATGTATTTATTACAGTTGAAGCATCCCAGCAAATCACTGTAGTTGCTAAATGAATCATGCAGCCATTAAGCAAATCCAGCTTCCTTTATTGGTTTTGCTTGTTGGGAAACCAGATGGAAGTCACAAATGGTGATCATATGACCTCAGGACACTGCAACCGCCCATAAATACATGCCCCAGTGCCCACATTTTGATCATGTGACCATAGGATTCGGCAACGGTTATTAAATGCAAAGACTGATTGTAAGTCATTTTTTTTCAGTGCTGCTGTAATTTCAAACAGTTGCTATACCAATAGTTGAAAGTCAAAGGGCTACCTATATACATCTGATCTGCAGAATCACACTACTTTCATCCTTAGATTCACACCCAATGTATCTGTTTCTGTTTTATTCATTCATTTGGCTATATAAAATAATTGAAAAAAGAAATTTGCAACCAGTCCTCACACTTATGGCCACAGCAGCATCCCCATGTTTGGCCACCAATATGTATTTACTACAGTTTTAGCATCCCAGAGTCATGTGATTGCCATTTGTGACCTTCCCAGTCAACTTCCAACAACCAAAGCCCATGGCGGAAGCCAGATTCTCTTAGTGACCACATGATTCACTTCATAACTATGGCAAAAAGGGTGGTAAAATTGGGTGTGATTCACTTACCACCTTGCTTAACAATGAAAATTCTCATAAGTCAAAAACTACCTGTAAAAAAGATCCATCCTAATACTGCATATGAAAAAAGAGTTAATTTGGTCCTGTTGTGCAACAACAATATGCTTTTCTACATGGATACCAGAGATCTTGGACAGTTTTCACTGCTATTTTATCTGACAAATATAAGAAATATTTTAAAAGATGAATAATACTAGGAACCAGAATCAATAAAGTTTACTGAAAAGATATTTACTTTACTATTCATGCTCAGCAGCTAATCTAAATAAAAATACTGTAGACATGGTAGCGACAAAGCATCTAGGAAATATTCCTCAACAAATTGGTTGCATCTGATGTTTTTATAGAAACTATGATTTTAAGTTTTTTGTCAACATAGATAAATCTGCTTTCCACATAGGATTGTTAATGCCATAAGTAATACAAATAAAAAAGCATCATCATGATAAATTAGGCCACTGAAATGAAAAATTCTTTATATAAACTCAGAGTGCTTTGAGGATAAAAGATTGTTCGTTCAGTTCTGACATTAAAATAAATACCATGAGTGAACCCATGCTCAGAGGTACCACCTTGTTCATTTGCTACTTCTAAGTTTGGTATCTAAGATACCATTTTTAATGGAGCCAAATGATAGATCTTACAATGATAGGGGGAGTGGAGAAATCGAATAGATCCTTTAAGTCTGCAGTCTGGTTCCAATTCAGAAACACATACACTATGAATAAAAATCAGTCTGCATGAGTGGGTACACTTGTACCCAACAGATGACTTGAGTTATTAAACAGCAGCTGTACTGTGCAATGTCTCAGTTTCCAAGGTCTGGGTTTCTAGTAACAGAAAATAGACATGCAACAACTTTCTCAGTAAAAAGAAAAAAAATCTAGCAACAGATTCAAAAGATGAAGCATCTTTTTAAACCAATGGAAAAATATGAATTGCTTTCTATAAAAGGAAAAAAAGTTAGTACAATTTTCGTTGCATAATAGTACAACAAAAAGTCAATATGCTTAATGACAATTAAGTATTAAGCTAATTATTATATTTGCTTATATTAACATTAAGGAAATAACATATTAATTATAGTTGTTCAGTCGCTTGGTTAGGGAGATGAATGACACATAAATTGAATAAATGAATATATTAAACAGAATATTTAATATTCTATTTATATCTGTAAGCTAGTTTGATCTAGTGCAGGGGGTAGGCAACCTTGGCTCTTTTATGACTCGTGGACTTCAACTCCCAGAATTCCTGAGCCAGTATCGCTGGCTCAGGAATTTTGGAAGTTGAAGTCCATGAGTCATAAAAGAGCCAAGGTTGCCTACCCCTGCTCTAGTGCTTAAGGCACCAAACTAGAAAGCAGGAGACCATAAGTTCAATTCTAACCTTAGCCATGAAAACTAACTGGGTGACCAGTCACTGTCTTAGCCCAACTCACCTCACAGGATTATTGTGAGAAAAATATCAGGTGCGTTGGATATGTTCGCCATTTGAGGTTATTTGTGAAAATAATAAAGATGGGATATAAATAAATAAGAATAGCATTTTCAATAATTTTCAAACAAGAAAATTGATTAGTTTATTGCTATATGTGGAAATAATGTATTATAGCAATAGTTTTTTATCTTGAGGGTCTGATAAAGTACCCTCAAAACTGGATTACTTAACAATAGAAAAAAAGTAACAAAGTACACAGCAAAGAGCTGAAGCTGAAATTTACTAACCAATGAACTCTGAAACAAATTATTGCAGTAAAGAGCAATATTTCCAGAATCTTAGCACTCTATTCCCTTTTTTACTCAAAGTATGATGTGCTAATATATTAGCAATTATATTTGGGATTGCAGTATTTGGAGCCATAATAATTGTATTAATCTTTTATTAATTTGCTAACTTATTATTAGTAGAAAGGCAATTTGGAGCTATTTAGAGCAGTAGTAGAGCAATGGTTAGAATGTAGTATTGCAGCTAATTCTGCCTACTGTCAGGAGTTTGATCCTGACTGACTCAAGGTAGACTCAGCCTTCCATCCTTCCGAGGTTGATAAAATAAGGACCCATTGCTGGGGGCAATATGCTGACTCTGCAAACCATTTACAGCAGAGGTCCCCAACCTTTTGGGGACCAGGGACCGGTTCTGTGGAGAAAGTTTTTTCCACAGACCAGAGGGTGCCTGGTTTTGTGTGCTGCCTGCATCCCACGGATGGGGCTTTGCTTGTTTGTGCGGACAGTTTGCTGGTATGCCGCGGTCCAGTACTGGTCCACGGACCCAGGGTTGGGGATCCCTGGTTTACAGAGTGCTGTAAAGCACTATGAAGCAATATATAAGTTTAAGTGCTATTGCTATAAAAAGGAATGAGTAGCTTAAGGCAGATGAGAAATCAGAATTTATCTTAAGTAGTCTAATAATTATGTAGAGTTTTTCCCCCTCAGATGTAGGCTGCATTAAACTATGTTATATGCTACCTTGAAAAAGACATTGATGAATTTGGACAACTAAAGCAAATTTTTTTTTAGAAAACTTGCTTATATAGCAGTTTTGTAATGTTTCCTGTAAATTTCCAGATAACCCTTACAAAAATATGTAAATCTTATTATTATTCGCATTATTTTTGCAGGCAGATAAGCTATGTTCCCCCCAAAACATCATGTGATTTTGTATCCTAGATCAGTGGTTCTTAACCTTTTTGAACGAATCGCCCCCTTGAGCCAATGAGGAAGTTGTCATCGCCCCCCTCCCCCAACATAACCTCTCAATCACAACATAGGAAATAATTCTTCAATTTATGCAAACACTTTTTTTGTTTTCTTTAAAATTGTCATCAGGACATATCAATGCAAATAATTTCCAGTCTATTTCCCATATCTCAACTGTGTGAAAAATTTTGGTGCCATCCATCACTTTATTCCCAAACTTCGTGATACATGTATTTCATTATTATCTTATTTATTCAAGACACTTAAATGTAATGACCACTGAAAACAAAATTCAATTGCAAGAAAGTGAAATGCCCCCCCAACAACAGTAACATTTAATGATTGA